CCTTTTCCAAACACTTTTGACTGTCTAACTTTCTGTGTGGACCTCCGGCAGCCTGTGTCTGTAGCATGGCCTCCTATTACAGAGCACTCCAGTGGAAGTTCTTTGATACAGGAGGGAACTGAACTGAAAATGAAAACAGAAAGGGAGATATCAGATTTCTGCAAATTGTTCATTACGTACTTTCCCGTTATATTACACAGAGGAGAGCATTTACTGCTTTCACTTGTCTTAATTGGGTTTTTTTTTTTCTGTCCAATATTAAATTCTGGTGGTGTATTCTTCAATACTCAACATTGTTCTTTGTCTAATCCCTTTTTGACAATTTAGTTAGATTAAGTTTGTTTTAATGATTTCTATAGCTTTCCAAGTTTGAATAGTGAAGTAGTAGCTTTTTGATGCTTAATGTGCAATAATTTTGAAGCGTTATAATTGCTTGCACATGTGTGCACATGTGCATAGATGCATACAATAGATAATGATAATATTAGTATCTCTACCACAGATCATTTTAAGAAGGGATAAAGTTATCTCAGTCTGACACCACCTAGTAAGCCTTCTAGGTGTTTAAAAAAAAAAAATTTACCTTTGTCCATTGTTTACTAAACACTCAACATGGTGTTTTCATAACAGTCTACAAACAAACCTAAAACTCTCAGTACAGTAAAGGTGCTGCCCTTAAATGCATTTTTCTGTGGTCATTTTAAGATAGTTTTAAGCTTTGAAGTTACCCATCACTCATGGTGTGTTCTTGTCTCGTCATATTCATTAGTCAGACCAGAACTAAGTGGAAACTGCTTGGATTCTTTTGATCAGATGCAGGCAAAGCTAATTAAATAGCAGTGTTTTCTATGGCCAAGCCATTTCTTTGAGCTGGTAGATTGCTGACAGCAATGTCATGAATTCTTGTCAATCTGCCTGTCACTCATTGCTTATGAAAGTGCTGAGAGAAATGACAAATCTGTGAAATGTGAAGAGGAAAAGCATATTAAAATTTCTTTTCTTTTTTTTTTTGGTCCTTCTTAGCCTATTGCAGCTGCTGGCCCAGATGAGGTTTTTAAGGATGCTGATATTCTTCAAGGCATAATTTCTCACAGAAAATCTTAGTTGCAATAAGGGAATTACTCCATTCCACAGTTCATACCGCCTCAGACCAAATAAAAACCATCTAGCTGCCTTTCAGAGCAAGCCTTTCTTTAGGATACTAATCCAGAAAGTCAGGAATTTTTAATGTCTGCAATACTGAGTAGTGCAGAGCCTGTCAAATGGCCCTTGTAGTCCGTGTTACGACTGGTCTGTGTGGGAGTCACCACCTGCTCACCCAGGCTTTGATTGCCCATTTCTCTAACTTCTCTGCAGTCTAGTGTTTGAAAGGGGGAAAAAAACCCAACCCTGGAATTCCTTGCCAAAATAGAAAAGAAATACAATCACAAGCTGTTTCCTTCTTCTGTTTAGCATAACTAGTTTAAAGTTTGGGGCTAAGGTGATTGAGGTGGTAGGTATCTCAGAGGCCGCAGAGCTTGCCTGTAATTAAGGAAGGAGAGGGAGGGGAAATTCTGCTACTAAATGTATGTGTGTTTACTTTTGTCAAAACTGCAGTAAAAAGTAACCAGATGGGGCATACACACAGCAGTCTGGACTTACTGAGCAGTGACGGCAAGCAAGGACTGTGCTGTGTTCCTCTGCAGCACAGAAAGTCCAACAGACATTACTTTGTTGACATTTATGGGTAGGAGATCTAATTAGAAATGAGAACAATTTCAAGAAATAAAAAGTCATCAAAAAGACACAAAGAGCCAAAAATTGAGGGGTATTTTAAAATAGTATGGGTTTTGTGAGCTTCTTTTGCTTTACAGTTGTTCTCTAAACCAGGAGTTTCCCATCTTAATTTGCTTGCTGAAGTATCATCACATAAAGAATTGATCAGCTATTGCAGGAGGAGGTATTTCCTGTCTTCTGGTGCGTTCACGCAGGGCACAAAAAGTGCACTTCCAGTCCTGCCTCTCCATCTTCCACAGCTGCACAGATGTCCTGTTCTGTCTGACTACATATTGTTAGGAATCAAAATGTACCTAAACAACAAATCGTATGCTCTTCTGGAAGAGAAACACCTGCAAGCAAAATTACTTTTTTCTATACCACTTTGTAACTTGGTGATTTCCTATTAAAAATTGCAGAGTACAAGTGTCTCATAAAGAAGCTCCAGCTCTCATTGTATGAGAATATAAATGCCATCAGGCAGTGGGTGGCAAATTTGTTTAGAAATGCTCTCTTCTTCCCATCCCATCAATAATTTAAAAAACTCAACTTGGATACTGAAGTAAAATTTCTGCATATCACTGCCTTCTAGTATCTAGCATTTTCTGATGTTTTTTTTGTAAACAATTTACATACTTAAACATTTAATGCTATGCTGGCAGTTTTAAAAAATATTTTTGAGAGGAAATATTGAAGAGACTGTTGATGCCCTACAGCAGCTTGTCTCAGAAGTATATGCCAGGAATTTCACCTCACTGTTTATTTACTGTTGAGATACCTGTTAAATGGATCAGAGTAATTCCCAGAATGAGAAAATCAAACTAAACCAGAATGATGTGAGAAAGTAAGATGGGAGTGAGCGAGTTCACAGTGATATTTTCTCGAGGTTTCCAAATAACCTCATATGAGACCTCTTTAAAAAAATCATGTATATAGAATTCTGTGCTGTATTTTGCCATTCTTTTAAAGTATGTGCATTTTATCAGCAAAAGAAAACATAAATACAGCAAGCGTTGTATAGATAAACCTTGCAGGTTTTATCAGAGCCTGTCATTTTCAAGTTTTTTTATCATGATCCAGTATAGTAAAAGAATTCTGGGCATATTTAAAATTTGTGAAGTGCTTGTAGCTATATTGAAATGTAGTATTCACCCCTGTGCTGCCACTCCTCTTAGATTATGCTGCAATAAGATGCACTGCTAGAGCCTTTTCGTTATTCCAGCCAGCTCCCTCTCAGATGGTAGTCATAAATCTTTGCGGCTTAGTTACACTTTCTGAAAAATACAGGGACTCAAAAATGAGATTCAGAATCCTGAGTAACTTTTACATTTCTGAAAAGTTACCTTATTTTAAAAAATATTTTCATCCCGCCTATTTAGTTTAAATGCTGGGAGTCGCTTTGTGTGTGTTAGGATTCATATTTGTCTGGATCTGTTCTTGGCATATCTATTTCTTAATTTTTAGCTTTAGAGCATAACTTTTCATGTCATGTTTAATTGCTAGAAGGAGCATTTGATTTTTCACATCTGCTTGGAATCTTTTAGGTCTATTGAGAGTGCCGGACTTGAGGGAAGCTCAGCGGGAGGGGTTTTCTGACAGTCTTACAGAATCTTTAGAGAGCCAAAAACCTTGAGACATGGGAACATGGCTTTAACTGGAGGCACACGAACCGAGTCTGAATTCATCAGAAAAGCTGAATCACTGGATGAGTAACTGTCCCTAACAATCAGATGACATAGTATCATGTGTGTTTACCAGGCATAGCTTTAAAAGCTTTGAGGAGGAGTTTCTGAGTACATTGAGCTTTAGGGTTTTTGATCAGATGTACCTCTGTGTTTGAATAGCAACAAACCCCCCTCTATTCTGTTGCAGCATGTCAAAGATTTTTGTTGTTTGTGTTTGGGAAATGATGTGTAATTAGTTACGGTAGTATTCTCCAGATTTAAAAATCTGTGCAAGGTAACCTGATCTAGTGTGATTCAAAATAATGCTCCAAATACTTGTTTCTGCATTCTAGAGTTCCATTTCTTCAGTGTTCTTTCTTTCCTCTTGCCACTTTTAATTAATTAAAACAGAATTTTGCTCCAGCTCTACCATTAAATCCACTGAAATCCTGAAGCTCCACTCCGCCTTCTGTGTGTTGAGCTGGTAGTACACAATATGAATGATACAACATGTTGCACATAAATTTAGTAGAAAAATGAAAAAGCAAATTGAAGACGTGTTGGGTTTTTTTCTGATATCTGTAACAAGATGCATTCTGTGCCTTTGTACATCCAGAGTTAGTGTTTACCTAGATAATGGTGTTCATTATTTATATCAAATAGAACAGATGGAGACAAAATGTTACTAACTTCATGACATAACAATGTCTGTGTTGCTGAACTTTGGTATGATCCAGTAAAAATGTGTGTCTGTCGTAGGGGAACACAAAGCTCTCTTGTAGTTAAATCTATCCCTTGAAGTGGAAATAGTTCTGTAATTGTTTTCCAATAGCTAAAATAGCTTTAGAGCACCAGCTGAGCACTCACAAACTTTTACTGCTAGAACTGGAACAGAAATGAAACCTTGCAAAAGGGTGCAGGGAAGGCTTCATGTCACAGTTCTCAGAATGTAAAAAAGACAGTTGAAAGATGCAGAGTTTGGGGATTTTTGACTGGTTATATGTGTAGTTTCTGTTCAGACATAAAGACAGTATTTCAGTCTATTCTAGTTTGGGTTTTTTTAATATTTTTTTTTTAAAATCTAAGAACACATTTGTGTGTATAGTGCTTAATTAATAATATTCAATACAGAGGGAGGCTGGGTGTTCCACATCTACGGGCAGTCATCAGTTACTGTGTTCGAAATTAAAATAAACCTTCCTAATGGTGTCTCAGCAGTTATTCAAAAAAGATAAAATCAAACCACAACTTACTTGCCAGTATTCTAACTAAAAACAAAAACATAAATTGAACTTTGAATATTTTTGCTGTGAGAGAACAAAAATTATGACTTGAAGTTTTTAGTACACATGAAATATAATTATTGTTTCTTAGGAAACATGATAGTTCTTTATTCTGGTGAACTATTTCTTATTTCCCTCCTTCCATTACCACTGTCTGTGTTTTTACATATAATGAGAATGTTTAAACAGAATACAAACTGTAGTTGGTTCTTTGCTTTTGTGCACTATTTAGTAATCCTGGCGCATAGTTGAAGAAATATGGTGATGGTTTGTTGTTTTTTTTTTTTAATCTTTTAAGGCTCCTGCTAAGAGAGATTCAACTCAAAGTACCATCAAAGAAGACAAAGTCCATCTGTTGAAGTATAATATAGGAGATCTAGTGTGGTCAAAAGTGTCTGGGTTTCCATGGTGGCCGTGCATGGTTTCTGCTGATCCTGTTCTCCATTCCTACACTAAACTAAAAGGTATGTCAGTGATGCTACAAACATCCAGATTTCTTCAGGTGTACGTGACCATTATTTTGGGAAAATTCCATTCTTCGTGTTATCTGTCCAGTTGTGTCGGTAACTGAACATACTCCTTGTTGTCAAGAGGAATGTTAAAATCATGTAAACACTATTCTTGAGCATATTGCAGACAGAGTTTTTTTCCAGTGTGTCTTTTTAACTCTGAACATTCTCTGAAAGATATCAAAATTGTGATCTATGAAGCTGAAGTCTTATTAAAAGTACTGTCTGATGGTACTTTCCATTGTTTTTATGGAGATGCTTGGAGAAGTGATGGGGTTAAAAATTTTATTGCAGCTAATGGGAAATAAATACTCCTGATGATTATGCTTTACTAAAAGCAATCCCTAATTCAGACAGCTAAATTTTCTGTGATTCATACGATCAATACTGATATCTACAGACAACATTATTTGATTCTAAATGCAGGGACTACCAAGTGTTAATGAAATTTTTGAGTAGGAACCTGTACCATTTCCTCATTTGCAGCTTTGTTCTCTGTTCTAATACCTGAAACTTTTGAGGCTTATCTGTGCTGGTTGTAGAATGATAAAGTAATACAGGTTGGAAAGGAGTCTGCAAGTCACATGGTTTCCAAGTTAAAGCAGATTGCTCAGGGTCTTGTCCAGCCAAATATTTAATGTCTTCAAGGATAGAGACTTTACAGCCTTTCTGGGCAATTTGTTATAGTGACTGGCAGCCATCGTGGCAAGAAGACTTCTTCCTTGATCTAGCTGAAATTTCCTTTGTTTCCGACTGTGTCCATTGCCTTTTGTGGAGGGGCTGTAAACATACACGTAGGGTTGGAAATCAGAATAATCTTGACACTTTGGAGGTGTGGTCTGAAAAACAATGCAGTTCCGTAAGACTAAGTGTTGGATTTTTTAGTGGTAGGTGATCAAGCTGGGAAACTAGTAGAAAGCCACATTTCTGCAGAAAGGAGTCTGAGAGTCATAATAACCCATTGCATTTTTCTCAGCAGAAAGACCAAAGTCACACTAACATAAATTAATAATGCTGCTTATAAAAAGCATGAAGTAGATCCTTTGCCTTGCCAGTGATAGCATGGCCTCAGTGGGAATACTTTGTTCATTTTGGGCCATCTCATTTCAAGAAACATGGACCAAAGAGAGGAGGTTTTGAGGACAGCATGAACAGAAACCTAGGAATCTACCTGCACAAGCAGACTGAAGGAACTGGAACGGTTTAATCGGACAAGGAGGAGCTAAAGGAGAACCCAGTAACCGGCCTTAAATAACTTAAGTTACATGCAAACAAGAAAAGGCATAAACTCTTCTTGTTCTGGGAAGAAGAGAGCTTAGTAGCAATGAATATTTAGACTATATATTAGGAAGAACTTGGAAGGGATAAAGATAGTGAAGCATTGGCATGGATTGCCTGGAGAAATGGTGTGATCTCATTCATAGGAGGTTTTTAAGAACAAATTGAATGAGGATCTCTAGGATTATAGCTAGACTCAATGTTGGTAGTAAACTAAATGGCTTCTTGAGAACCCTTTCAAGCATTCATACAATTGCTAGAATGGTTATTATAGACTCCTCAGACAGATTTTTCTTGTAGCAGTCTTTCAGAGTTTTGATCAGGCAGTCCCTGTGATTTTAATCTTTGGGTTATTATGTCTATTATGAGATAAAAGAGCTGGATTTTGAGAGAAATAAAGCTGTTTATTTGTTCCTAGCGGAATTACTCTGCTCCTTGAAAGGAGCAAGGTTTATGCTTCGTTATCCAGAATACCTGTGGTAGCTTTTTATAAGAAACTATAGAAACAGATCTAGCAAAAACCAATGTCATATGTCTGAATGCAACCTATGGAGTACTAACAGAAAGAAGAGCCCACATACTTTGAGATGTTAACTTCCATCTCTTTGAAGTAATATGGATGAGGGTAATTTCTGATATTTGCTCTGGAGTTGGCTTCAGGCCTGCCTTTTCCTTCAGGAAGTTTGACTAGGTCTGGGCAGCCATCATAACTGATAAATGCACACTGATGTGCATATTTCCATCACTATGTATTTCCAGTCTTGTATTATCTTCCACCTACCGTTTACTGTTGAGGCACTATCAAAAGTCTCCTGTTCCAAACAGAAGAGTTCTTTTATCTGGGAGCTGTAGAAATACTCAGCTAGGTCTCTGTGTTTCTCATTTCTAGGATTAAGATCAACAGTGTTTATAAACAATGAATTTCTGGATGCTGTTCAGACTTGAGACAAGTTTGCAACTTTCAACTTGCAGGATGCACACTTTCATGTAAGAAGGCCCATACTGAGTCAAACTAAAGCTCCATCTCATTCAGTATCCTGGCTCTGACTGTGGTCAACCACAGGTGCTAGGGTACAGAAAAAGACAAGTAATAGTGATGGGTCCCCAGAACACTCTCCCAAACCTTCAATAACTCATGGTTCCAGGATTCTGTGAGCCCAAAATTATGTCTTTGTATATAACAACCCTTAATGAATGAATTCTGTTATTTTATTCAGGAGCGTTGATACGATAGGACAAGAGGAAATGGCCTGAAGTTGCATCAAGGGAGGTTTAGATTGGATATTAGAAAAAATTTCTTCACCGAAAAGGTTGTCAAGCACTGGCACAAGCTGCCCAGGGAAGTGGTTGAGTCACCGTCCCTGGAGGAATTTAAAAGACATGTAGACGTGGTGCTTAGGGACATGCAGTTTTGGACTGGCAGTTTTATGTTAATGGTTGAACTCGATGATCGTAAGGGTCTTTTCCAACCAAAACGATTCTATGATTCTGTGGATTCAGCCCACAGAAGATATCTGAAGATTCACAGATAGGTTCAATGATTCTAGTGCTAGGCACTATTATTTAGACTCCTTAATGAGGCAGTTACAGCTGTCCAGCATTATATTGTAAAAGGAATAGAGTGTGTCTGTTTGGAACTGGACTGTTGGCTGCTCAGAGGCAGATCTTTACAGGTAGTTGTAAATGTAGTCTGTGCCATCTCTCTGCAGCTAGGACATTCTGGTAAAATATGAAAATTATCCATTATTTCATCATAAACAGATTAAGTCATCAGAGCTCAGTAGTCCCTAGTGTAGCAATATTTTCTTAATGTGAACAAAATAATTACTGTGCGAGAGAATTGTTCCTGACTGCATTACTGGAACATGTGTTAGACTACTGGATTGGACATGTGATGCATACAGTCCCAGGACCTTTCCCTATGCCATTTCTCTAGATTCTCATATCTGATCTCAAATGAGTCATTGTAAGTCTAGAAAACTCAGTAATAATAGTGCCTGAAGCGACCAACCAGTGGTATTTGCTGATTAAGGTAGAAGATAGGCAGTGTGTGAATAATCTAGCAAAGTTGAGACTTAGTTCGAAGGTGTCTGTAACAGAGGACTGTGACTGTTACTTGTTCTTACTGGGTAGACATCCTTACTTGATTTCCTCTTCCTCCCAAACTACGTTAGACATACTAATGTGGTGATGCCTTGAAGAACTATAGATAGTGGGGGGACGGGGGGTAACTGATCGTTTTCTAGCAGGATTGAATTTACAAACACACAAGTGTTGGTTATCACAGTTAAAACCACCTCTATTTTAAAATGAGACCCTAATTTGAATACTTAGACAGCAAATCTGCAAGTTTCAATGAAGGAGATGCTAGAGGACGTCTGAAGTCTGATTCTCTTACCTCTGCCTTTTAGAAGTTTGTTGTTAACTGTGAACTCTTCAGTGAATTTTAAAGGTGGTGTCTTCCCCCTTCACAGTGGAATAGCTGAGTTCTTTAGAAGGGGAAGATGGTATGCCTATATCTTACTGCACTGAGGCACTATTCCTCTTTACAGTCTTAGAAGAATGAATGTTTCTTGTCTAGGTTTCAGAATTGTTCTCTTATCTTCCTGCTCTCCCTTCCACCACCTAAATCCTTTTCATTTCTTACTTTGATTCCTTGAAAGCTTGCTGAAGACGAAGTTGTGATTGCCAGTGTTAAAACTAGCTGAAGAATATTAAAAGATAAAAGTTTAGACTAATCAGAGATGAGGCTGTGTGCACAGGCTATCCAAGCTTTGGAAACTTTTTCAAATGTAGCATTTTCAGAAACATCCCAGGCCTACGCGTAAGTTAATGTACATGGAAAGCACTGACAGATGATTGTAACCTTAAATTAATATAGCAAAGCATGTTCTTGTTTGGAGTTAAACTATTGGGCTTTTGCGTCAAACTTCAGAATATAGCTCAGAGACTTTCAAGATGCTTAAGTGAGTTTTTGAAAGGTTAAGCAGTTGTGCTGTGCTTTTGTCATGGTAACTATAGTAGCTTACAAAAGATTTCAAGTCTGAAAGTGTAGAGGACAACCTAAATTGTATCTTACATACATTAATTTTTAATTTTCAGGACAGAAAAAGAGTTTTCGTCAATATCATGTTCAGTTTTTTGGAGATGCCCCAGAGCGAGCCTGGATATTTGAGAAGAGCCTTGTGCCCTTCAAAGAAAAAGACCAGTTTGAACAATTATGCCAGGAAAGTGCAAAACAAGCCCTGACTAAAGCAGAGAAAATAAAGGTAAGAGACTACTAAGTCAGACCAGATTTGCAGCTTTGTATTTTACTGTTACAGGTATGTACGGATATAAATAGATATTCTAGAAAGCTTTAAAGACAGCTTGTTTTACAGAGGCTTGTAGTCTTATATTTTGCTTAGAGATGCAAAGAATGGGATGGCTTACCACTGTTACTTACTAGAAATCAGTACTCTTCTGCTTTGTCATGGATTCGTGCATGGCATCAGTACTACCAAATACAGTTCCATTTGAACGTCTGAATTATAATTATACATTACACTTAGTCTCTTGGAATTGTTTTGTGTTAACATTGGCATTTTGAAATCAAAAGTGGACAAATTTCTCACACTGTTGTCTTACCTTGCAGATGTTAAAGCCTGTTTCAGGGAAGCTGCGGCCACAGTGGGAGATGGGTGTTAAGCAAGCCAGTGAAGCAGTAGGCATGACAGTGGAAGAACGGAAGGCCAAGTACACCTTCATCTATGTTAGGGACAGACCTCATCTTAATCCTCGAGTGGCAAAGGAAGTTGGCATTGCTGTGGAACCATTCGAGGAGATGGATGAGTCATCTTACTCAAATGAAGAAACCACTCAAAATCTGAAATCGATGAAGGAGTCTGGCATTCCTAACAAGAGGAGGAGAAGGACATCAAAATTGTCTGCCACTGATGATATGCAAGAAAGCAGTCAGTCGGGGTCTAAGACTACTACTCCTCAAAAGTCATCTGAACAGGCAGAATCCAAAAGAGGGATAGGCTCCCCTCTGAATAGAAAGAAAACTCCAGCATCTACTCCGCGGAGCAGAAAGGGCGATGCAGTATCTCAGTTTTTGGTCTTTTGTCAGAAGCACAGAGATGAGGTTAGTCTCTTTTAGCTGTTGTTATTGTTGATTGCATCTTCTCATTTCTGTACTTAAAGAAACTACTTTAGTTGCCAAAACTAGTTGTTACTGTAGCATCCATAATATTCTGGGCTTGACAAGTTATGCCTCCATTAAATCTTAGTCTAGACAGGAACAGAGAAAGAAGGGAATGGAGATGAGCAATGTAAACAAGATCGTGATAACGCCGTTGTACTTGAAGCATAAGTCATGTTAGTATCTTCCTACATAATCTCATAGTCCTTTATATGAGCCATAATTTTTTCATTGTATGTAAAATATTGTAGATATGCATACATATGCTCAGGCAAATACAGTGAAGGTTATGCTGTTTATGGCCATCTACTTGTAGTTAGCTTGTACATTCTTTCTGAAGACGTGGCTCAATTCCTTCAATTTGTTCCCTTGTCTTTCAACTATTTAAAAATTCCATTTACCCACTTAGAGTCTTTTGCTGAGCTTCAAAAGAAGCTGGTTAATAAAAGCTTGTGAAAATCACTGTCAGTGTGCAGTCTGCTGGGATGGAAACTAGGTACTCTTGAGAGGATTACACTCCAAGACAAGGTAGAATAAATAAATACCTTAATACCAACATTTCTTAGAAAGACTGTTAGAGGTATAAAAGCAGTACTGCTGTTCTAGCTCATTACTTTAAAATCATGACCATCATTTTTCTTCCTTACAACACTCTGCTCCATTTGCAGTACAATTCCATGCACCGAAAGAAGCATGAGTTCTCATGTTTTCTTGTAGTCAGACTGTTCCATAATACCCACAGAAGGACCAGAAAGTTAGTGGTGACTTTGTCACACTCTTTAGCTACTGAATGGTTGACTTCTTTATAGGATGTTTGTGTTGGAAAACGTTAATAGATATGAACTTTGTAAAGAACAATTGAAGAAACAAATTCTGTTGTATGGAAGTCAGTTAGTTGTGGTTCAACTTAGGATCTTTTTAGATCGTTGCAACTTAAGCTAATATTGAGAATGAAAATGAACACAGTGTTACATATACCTTTTAGTGGCTTTTGTTAAATTGAGAAAAGCATTGGCAGTTCAGTTTGCTGGCTCCAGAAAGAAAGGGGTTTTGTAGCCAGACTATTAAATATAGATTTCGATATATTCATTATGGAAAAAATGTATGGGTAAATCATCTGTCTCATGTTTGAGACCCGAGTTCTGCTTCCAGTTCTTCTATTAGTAACCTCGTGTCTTGTATAATGGCAAGGGGGGATTTCCTTGGCCTTTAAGGTAGGTAGCAAGAAGTCTTGTGCAATATTGAGGGACATGAAATTACTTTTCTGGAAGGAATGTGATTATTATGACTGGTTTTATGGACTCTTAGCCAAGTATATCTTACCACAGAAGGGACATGCTGAGTCTCTGATGTTGAACATTTCTATTTTCTGTCCAGTTATCAAGCTTAATTCCATACTATGGTTATACTGTACTTCTCAAATTAATAGATGGAAAATATGAAGACTATTACAGTATTTGACATTGAGGAATTGCTTTGGTTTTAGTGTCATTTCGGGAAAATGAAAAACTTGCATAAGCTTGAAAATCACACTGATGATAGTGGCTAATATTGCACAGAGTTAGAAGTAGAAGGAAGTAAGTTTCAAAATGTGACTTATATTTAGAGAGAGGACATCCTACCAGTTCTACCTAGAATATTTTTTAATAAGATCAGTCATGAAAACCCAAATCCACCTGAATGTGGAATCTATTCTAATAGGTACAGAAGCATTTCTGTGCGTAGAACAGAACTAGGTTATGAAAACTGCAGATTCCAGGTAACTGCAGATAACAGTCCCTTCTTACCAATCAGGGCAGCAGAGCCTGTCTTTCCTTTCTCTTGATTCAAAGTTAACTTTGCAAAATGGGGAAATACCATTGTACATATTCATGGTTCTTACACAGAACCTAAGTTACCTGAGTTTAGTTTATACTTCCAGACTGTTATGGTGCTTTTAAAATGGCAGTTTTGTGCCTTTGGTGGCAGGTGGAAATTGCATCCAAAGTAGTATTCGGAGTTTCCCCTTCTGTTAGGCGTACTTGGTTCAACTTGCATGGTTTGCTTTCTATCCATGAGTTTGTTTTGTTGCTGTTGTAGATGTTCTGATGCTTTAGAAGGTGTGTTAACGTTGGCTAAAGCACTACTTTTGAGCTACTTGTATTGGTGACATCTGAGAGTTTAGTGTATTGCTACTTTAGTATTTACGTGTAGAAATTTAGAAGAAAAAAACCATACGGATCCGTCTCTGGCCCCCAGACTTGGGAAGGGATGGAAGTGAATGGAAAGGAATGACTGAAGACTTCTCTTTTGGAACCTCTAATAATCGTGAGCTGTCTTAAAAGTAGAGCTGTTTCTGCTGTGTCTTGCTTGGAATCCAGATTTGTATGGTAGTAGGATTCATATATTGGTTTGGTTTTATTAATTACTACTTTTTGTGTTACTTTTTGTGGGGATAGGAGGGTGAGGAATATTTGAAATTTTTAGAAATGAGTGATGGCTGCTGGAAGACTGGATGAACTGCTGGAAAACATTTTTAATGATTTAAGAGGCATGCTTCCCTGAGGGAGGCATTGAAAGCTTGGAGCATTTTCATGGTTGTAGTGATGCATTAAGTATTTTGTGCTGTTACCAAAGGAGCAAAGATGTATTTTGTACTATTGTCATTCTTAAGCTCTTCCTCTGTGAAATATAACCATAGTAATCATTAGAAGGGAGTGTCTGACTTGAGATAAAGGTATCGTTCAGGGAGAGGCAGACAGCTATACTGTTTATATTAATTCATTGATTTGGGCCTTGAGTCTATTTTGAGGTAAATTAAGAAATAATTTTACTAGTGAGGTTTACAATTGAAGATTTCTGTATGTGTAAGGAGTTGTTGAACGTCAAGACAAATAAGAGCAAAGGTAACATGCTTTGCTTGGACGAGCTGGGACGTGCCCGGTCTAATTACTGTGTTTTTCACACTTATAGTGATATTAATTCCCAGATCCAAGAAAAGATCTTCCATCTGTTCTGTAGCATAGTTAGATTTTGAATAAGTACCTGGGATTAGTGTCTGATTTTCATGTCCATCAAGATACCCGATACATCATTTCCAGTATGTATGCCGGGATTGAGTATTACAGTATGAAGACTTCAGAGAAGACTGCTGGGCGTTTTTCTTGAAGGCCTTCTTTGCAAGGATGCCTTAACCATTAAGAACCATGAATGTCTTTTGCTTGTCGTTTCACAGCGCTCCTAGTCAGTTGAGAGTTGTTTTTATTCATATTTTGGTGGGACTGCAGGTGTCGTTCAACAGTATCTCATTGGTGCAAACAAAGCTAGTGATTTCTTAGAGAATTAAATAATTGTGTCTCAGTTAAGCACAATGAACTATACATTCAGCAGCTATGGTCAAAACTGATTCTAATTTCTTTTCCTAAAGAAATGAGATTTGTGGGAGGGGTGCAATTTTAAGGCATTAAGGCACTAAGTTCTAAGAAATTAGGTTTAATAATTGCCACTTATCACAGAAGAAATGTATTTCTGTTCTGTTGAATGATGTTACTGTTTGAATGCTTGGGTTTGTTTTTATTTTGCTCCGTGATTTGGGGGTATTGGTTGCATCACTCCAGTAATAGGATTTTGGAGAATGCTGCGCAATGACATAGGAGGGGTTGTTTTTAAAGCTATTGTTTCATTTCTGTAGATCATACAATCTTAGGGTTTTCTGCCTTCTGTGATTAATCAAATCTGGTTTTCCTTAAGTAGAAGTTTGGGAATACTGAATGAGTTTGGGAGGATTTTTTTCTTTGTTTTTAATACTGGATTTTCTGTTTGCGTTGAATAAATTTCTAGAAACTCATAAATTCCATGTTGATGGCTATTATGTGTCATGCTTATGTTATTAAGAAAAGATGCACAGCTTTTTGAGTTCCTAATATTCATATACCTAGTATAAAATGATGAATTAATACAGGAAAATGTTGCATCAGATGCTAGCTTATGTAAATCTCTCTGCCTCGATAGGTGTAATGAGTTCTATGTATAATGAGTTCTCCTATGAATTGATGGATGCCTTTGTAGGCAAGCATATATTCCAGTATTGCTTCTCTGTCTTTTGTGGTATGGATTTAAACTTCATCAAGAAATACTAGAAATCTTTTTGAATGACCACAAGACAAGATTTGCAATTGCTCCATTTTTTGAATGTTAAAAGGCAAATAGATACTTCCAGAATGATTCTTAATACTTCTGAATCTGCTAATAGATTTTTTTTTTTTTTGAGAGAAAGAGAAGTGGTTGTCCAAAGACAAACTGGTACCAAATGTTTTAATCTAGTTCTATCTACAGCAGAAATGTTAGATAACTTGTTTGTATCTAGTTTTCCAAAGCAATAGAAGTATGTATGCCATTCTTTTCAATGGTCACCTTTTTTTAATATAACCCTATTTCTGCATGTATAGGTGGTTGCTGAACATCCAGATGCTTCAAGTGAGGAGATTGAAGAATTGCTCGAATCGCAGTGGAACATGCTTAGTGAAAAACAGAAAGCTCGCTATAACACAAAGTTTGCCATAGTGACCTCTCCCAAATCTGAAGAAGACTCTGGTAAACGTAAAACTGTGCTAGTGTACTCTAACTAAATTTGATATACATAGTGGTGTTAAACTAAGCACATATTTGAGACCTGTAGACTGTTTTCCACTTTTAATTCTTGGTGTTTGTGCCAATAGCAAAGGAATGCCAATGGTTACAATAAACGCAACCCATGAAGTCTACATTTCTTGCTCATTGTTCTGAAAAGTTGTTATATGTAAATCTTCTACTGTTTAGAGATTGCTGATTTCTCATTCTTCTTCTGCCCATAAGCAGCTGCCATTGCATCCACTGCCTCCTATAAGTGGATGGTGGGAAGGGAAGACGAAGTGTTACTATTCGTAAAATTTGAGTTGTTTTTTTATAGAATAGTTAGGAAATGGTTTAAAAAGTTTAATCAGTGCTACACCTTTTCTTCATATATACCTAAAGTGTATTACCTCATATCATCATCAACCCGGGAAGAAGTATTCCAAACTTTATTCTGAAAGTTTCATCGGTTTGGCATTATATTGTGCTACTCAAAAGTTTTTAGGACATTGTACAAGATTGCAAATACTTTTTTTTTTTCTCCTTTTATTTTTTTGTTGCGGTTGTCTAGCATTTGGTTTTGATAAACAGTCTCAATTATTTTGCAAAATATTTGAGGGGTTTTGGAGTCACTTATTAGAGAAATGAGGAGGACGATAGTTTGGCATTTGCATGAACTTTATCAAATTTCACTAGCTATCGTTTTTCAAATTTAAGTAGCTTTACAGCACTGTAAGAAAACTTATTATGGAAGTATTAGAAACCAACAGGTGCTGCTTTGGGCAATGACAAGAATGAGAGGGAGTGTTTGAAAGTTTGTGAGACTTGGAAAAACTTGTATAAAAATGGCAGTCAGTTTTGTTAACTATCTGTGTGTGTGTGAAATAACATCATTTTGTGGAAAATTGAAAAGTTTTTAACTTTAAATTTTAAGTGTCAAATATTTGGATATCAGTTTAAAAAAAAAACACATTCTGTATCTCTCAAGGTTCATCATTGAAGAATATTGGAGAGGCCAAACGTAAAGTGTTTCAAGACTCACCTAAAAGGAGATCAAGATCCAGAAGTAATTGAAATTTGTGTTGTGTGCAAATAGTTCATCTTTATAAGTAGCTATTGAGTGTATTTTTTTATGTAATCGCCCACGTATCATAATCTCTTTATTTTATCTCAGATGTTGTCTTCCTTGACGTTAGAATTTTAATGGATCCCAAATTAAATATCTAAACACTGTAGTGCTGAATTTTGTTCACCTTCCTCAGTGTCATATTGCAAGAAATGTAATTGAAATTGTACCTGTACCAGGTGTTTCTAGTACATATATTGTGTACATTTATAGTTACCTACAGATGAAAACATGTCAGCTCAATCGTTCCCCTACCCAAATCCTCTTCTTTTAAACTTGGAAGAATATTGTGGGATTTCTTTTGCTGGCTTTTTGTAAGTAGCAGGTTCTCCTGGAGCCATTTCAGTCTGCTTTGTGGATTCAGAGTCTGATAATAGAGTACATCCTAGATTGTTTAGATAAGAACATTAATTTGAAAATTTTCCATATTTTCAAGTTGCTATATTTTTAATATTTACAGCTATTTGTTCCCACTGGAATAGAATGCTTGTAGCTGTAGGGCAATTTTCAGTTAACGTATTTGTGCCCCTGGAGTTTGCAATCTTCATACTAATAATATTCTGTAGCTTCATAAACTAGAGAGTACTGGAGAGTGTAATAACGTTGTCATTTCCTTCTGATGAAACAGACCACTTCCTAAACTTTCATCTGTCTTTTTGAGGTGTAAACAATAGCTGAACCTGTGGAAGGGATATGTAGGTTAGTCACTGACCTTTTGTAATTTAGCAGCTGCTTGAACTTTACAGTGAACGATCATCTAAATATGTGAATAAATCTGTTGGTTTAAAATGACCAACGTGATTCTGTTCTTAGGATTTTGGCTCGCAAAGGACGGGGATGTTACGGTCTCCTGTAAAATATAAGTAAGCTTGCTAGAGAGTATGGGTCTGCCGTACCAGAAAGAGAGAAGTAATCTGTACGGTTGGTGATATCTTGTCTTTTCCAGGGGCCCCTTAATAGATGTCTCCAGTGTCTTCATCTGTATCATTTGGAGAACTTAAAGGAGACTTAAAAATTGTTTCAGTGATAAGACACTGTTACAAAGTGGCAGAAGAGTTAAAAGCTGTCTAGAGCAATCACCTGCAGTCTGACGATCTGAAACAAACGTTGGGCAGTAATATTCAGATCTTAAACTAGTGCTTATATGGGTAGACTCACCTTTCCCAAATAACTTGAGTATGAAGCAATTGATTTGGATGTGTTCTAAAGTTAGTCTTCAGCACCAGAAACCAGACCTTAAGCATTAAGAGGTCATCAAACTGTGTTAATGTTTAACCGTGTTTTAAAAATAATGACTGAAGGAAAAGTAACTTAAATAACTAGATCAGTTCAAAATAATTCGAAAGTGAGTTTTAGATTATTTTTCATGTAAGTTTCCCCCATCCCCCATCCCAAGGTAACTTACATGGAAATAAAAGAAACCAAAAAAAGAGGACAAAGGAACCTACAGAAGATTTTGAAGTTCAGGAAGCACCTAGGAAAAGACTCAGGATGGATAAACAGAATAATCGGAAGGTAATTATGTCGTTGGTTTGTTTGGGTTGATTTATAGCAGCACCAGTCACATTGCTGTAGTTAAGTTTGTCAGCATTTCCATTTTCAGGACTAAAAAAGTAATGTCTGTATATCAAACCAAACTGTTGTAAATATTCAGAGATACGCGTGAGCTTATTGCTGTGGGGGTTTTTGTCTTTGATTTTGAGGATGGAGGTATGAGAAGTTGCACTTGCTACTTAAACTGTGGTGAAAATGTATGCTGAGAAAATCTGTTTCCCAAAGGAAGGAGGCATGACCGTTCTGTGTTGTCACGCTTTGTAGTTCTTTTTCTTTCCTCCTGAATTAAGTACAGAGATGTATACAAGCATGTAAAAAAAAAATCTTTAGTCAATACTTAATTTAGACAAAAGTGGGTGGAGAAAGGAATGCAAGTAAAGCAAAGCAGAAAAACTACTTTTCAAGTACTGGAAGCTTATCAAACATTTTAGAGTGGCATGCTGTCCCATTTCTTTAGTTAGGAAACTGCAGTAAATATTACAGTATATTTACTGCACAAATCACAGGCTTCTTTTCAGTTTAGCTTGCTTGAGAGAGTGAGAATTTTTCCTTACATAGGTCACTAAAACTATGTTTATGGATACAGTCCAAATCTTGCAGAGACCTAAGCATAGGTTTATTTAGTCAAGCTTGTAGACCAGTGAATTTCATGGGTTCTACTTGTGTGGAAAGCTTAGCTCACAAGTGTTTTCAGATACGGTATTCCAGTATCGTACTGTAGTGTGAGTATCACAGACCTCATCACAAGACTTAGGTGGTACAGCGATTAAATGAAACAACCTAATATAAGGAGAGGTAGTAGACTTATTTTTTAAATGAATTATGGAGATTACATTTGTAGATGTCAGTTTGTTTGGTAGGCTGGTTATTTTAGTACCTCTGTTGATATTGTGGATATGCAGACAACATGTTTAGAGTTCAATATAAAAAACAAATAGAATTTCAGATAGCCAGGCTTAATGAGCAGTTTGTTTGGTAGGCTGGTTATTTTAGTACCTCTGTTGATATTGTGGATATGCAGACAACTTGTTTAGAGTTCAATATAAAAAACAAATAGAATTTCAGATAGCCAGGCTTAATGAGCTTATCAGTAAGGGACAAAGATAATTCTTAAAGAAATGTTGTTACCTTTGCAGAAAGAAGGGCTAAAACTGGTTTTTGCATTTCTTGCTCTAATGGGTTAGTCGTTGAATATTTGTCTTATAACCTTAGGAGAAGGTTTTGGACCCTTTTTAAACTCGTCTAATTGATCTGAATTCACTATAATCCACTAGATCCATGGAGTAATTAAGTTTACTTATTGTAATTAGTAGTTTTGACTATCCCTAAAGTTACTTCTTTACTGTCGCACCAGCATTCGTGCACTGCAATTAGCCTACATTATCACAAGTAGAATGAAAGGTGGTTGCAGTATAGTTCGTGCAGAGGAGGGTCTGGTATCTTTGCTGCTGTGATGCAAATGTGAATATTAACAGGAAAATAAATAAATGAGATGAATGATTCCTATAAGATACATACCACTGATAATGCTAACTTAATAATGTGCATTTAAAAAATGTCCTCTATCTGATACGTTTTTCAGAACTAGTTACAAGGAATCTGGTGTGTGTAAATATTAGGTAATTTGGAAGCTCTACTAAATGCATATAGCAGTGTTTGTGCTTCTGTCCACAGAAGGGTCAGATATCGTAGCGTGGTTGCTTTGTAGTTTCTTTTATGAATTATCTCTTAGTCTTTTTCATGCCTTCACCAGCCAAGGGTACTTCTAGCTGTATCTGCTGCTGCTTAGTAAAACATTTAGTGAATGACAGTGAAAATGTCTATGTAATGATTCAAAAAAGCAAACACTAACCATACACCTTCCTTCCGCTATTCACAGTTTACCTGCAGGCTTTTGTTACAATCATTTTGGATAGGAGGAGCTTTAATGACTTTTTTTCATGGCGTTTTACTTCTTGCATGAGAGTTGTGCGTTATCCTTTTTTTCCTTAATTCCTATTTAAGAAATCATGTTTTCGCACGAAGTGACTAAGTCATAATAAGTACCCATATGGACCTTTTGAAAACTTAATTCGTTTATTGGTGGTTTCGTGATGTATATAAAATGCACATTAACAAAATGGGGGTTCTGTAAAGCATGCTTTAAATTTAAAAGTGAACTATACTGTACATTTTCTTTCATTTTTGCACAGAAGCGTAGCAGTAATGTTACAAAACTGATATTGGAAGCTTCCAGTGGCATCAGTGGTAGGGCGTCTCAGTCTAGTTAGAGGTCAGTAAAAGCACAGTGTAGCACATCTGTAGTATAGGAGCCATTCGTATTTATTTTTACAAAGGAAACCAGTTCTCTGGCCTTTGAGATGTTCACCTGCACAGCTTTTGTAATACAGAATGTCAGATGAAGAATGTGAAAAAGTATGTAAAACCTTCTGTTCAGTAGAATTATTCTTATTGATCAAGTGAGCATGTGTCAGGGTTAAGCATTCTTGGCTACAATTTTAGTGACTTATTACTTGAATTTGTAACGTAGAAAAAAAATAGTGTGTAAGGAACAGTGACTAATTTTGACAAAGCTTTGACAAAAACTTCCCCAGTTTTTGGCCTAAACTTTTAATGATAAATGCTCAGTCTGGAGCAAATGTATGTGTTGTTTATGCTCCCTTGAAAATAGTGGGTTTATTTTGGAAATGCTGAAACAATCTTAACCATAGTAATTTACAAAATGGCACTGCTATAAGTTGTGGACTTGAAAGCAAGCCTCTCTGAGACTTAAAATTCTGCACAGGGTTTATTCTCAAATTTATATACTAATTCTGCAGTTTACCTTTAATAATTAAAGGTTTTAATTTGACCAGTTTAGACAAAGAATAGTAAGGATACTTTACATGTTTCGTGTTCATTTAGAGCTCCCCTTTTTGATATGCCGAGTTTGGGATGGATAAGTGGGGTGCTGGAATACTGTGTTCTTTAATTTTTTTCATTTGTTTACGGGTTTGTACCCTGTGCTGTAAATGAGTTTTTAAAATCACTTAAATGGGGCTAGCTTAACTACATTACCATTCAGATATCTGTAAAGACACTTTCTTTTTAATAACATAAATCCAGAAGTAATTGCCAGTTTTATCCAACCACTCATAAATTAGGAGTTTTTTTATTTTTTCATATTTTTTTTTGTGACAGAGGGAGACAAGCAATGACAAAACAGCAAAAACAAACTCTTCTAAGGTCACAGAAACCTCCTCTTCACAAAAGAACCAGTCAGGTAATGTGGTCAGAATAAGTTTTAATGTAACTTTTTCAGTTAAATAATTTTAAAATAAACAGGTTGTCTGAGGCAGCCGGCTAAATTTTGCTGACGTAATAACCAGTTACAGCCACTGTACCACAGCTGGGGGGGGGTATGCCCTCTTCCTTCACTACCACCATTTTGCAACATTATACTTGACTGAAATTGTGTATTGCTGATTTAGAGCAGCAGTTCACAAGTTCACCATTTGATGGCACCAAATTAAAGCTGTTGCCCTGTGATCTTGGCGAGCGGTGATACAAATCCTACTGCTCCAATTTGTCATTGTGCATTAGCCCAGTAAAACAAGTGCAGTGACCATCAATGTAATCAGTTACCATGTGATTTTAGTCCTTTTAAATGATGCTTGATGGGAGGCAGTGTGGAGCATGAGAGGGAATTCTAAATAACCTTGGACCAAACTCCAAAAGTCAGGCTTGTTACTGATGCTCAAGTTTAAGGTAACTTCTGTAAGAGCATGTCTCTTTAGGTATTATAATGATATGCCAAAAACGAGTAAGCTTCAGCGAGTTCTGTGCAGTGTAGAAGTGGCGGCGTGTCACAGATAACATCTGGTACCTGGCTCCTATATATAACTTTTCTCTTAACAAAGTGTTAGTGGTACTCAGATTGTGATGAGATCACCTAGGCCTTCTAACGTTTATCTGAGGAGATAACCGTTACCTCTGCTTTAAAGAGGTCGTAAGTCACAAGACATTTTGATTTTAATAGAAATGAGCCAAAAAAATTGGGAAAACATTTCTTAGCCGTTCGTAGTACATATTTGATTAATAGAAACGTCTTTATTTTTAAAATCAAGCCAAAACACATGGTTTCAGAAACTTACTTCGTGTTCTCTCAGCTCTATGTAGGTGTCCAGAAGACCTACCTAAATCATTCCTTCCTTTATCTGAAGGAATATTTTTAAATGGCTTCAGGGAGATAACGTTTTAAAGTTCCAAACTTCACTTTGTAAACCAAAATTATTTTACAGCAACGAAAAATCTGTCTGATGCATGTAAACCTCTGAAGAAGCGAAATCGGGCTTCAGCAGCAGAATCTTCAACTCTTGCTTTTAGCAAGAGTTCATCTCCTTCAGCTTCCTTAACTGAGAATGAGGTAAAAAAAAAGTGGTGTTTGCACACAGCCATTTAATTACAGAATTTTTCAGGTGTGAATCTTGTTTAAAAACAAAAATGAAAGGCGAATTCTCTAACGTTGGTGCTCTAGACAAGTTACAGTTCTGGCCTCTGTGAAACCTGTTAATGTGTGCATTGCAAATTCATTTATTGTAATACGAACGTCTGATTTGGGGACATCGAGATATTATTGTGGTTTTTAATGTATTTACCAACAAAGTTTTAGAATTGTAACCTTCTATTAGAGGCAAAGTAAAATGCCAGTGTGTTCTGTATTTTCTTCTACAGACTTTATGTAAGTGTACTACATTAGTTACATTATGTAACTCAATATTGTCATGTTGCCATAGCTTTTATATTGAAGCAAGTTTCCTAATCCTCTGTTTGATCTAGAACTGGACAGTTTTCTGAGCAGAGCCCCTTTAAGCTCAAATTAGTTTTCAGGCTGTTTAAGTGCTATTTCTCTGTGATGCAAATAGCTTCATCCCTGGTAGAGATAAACAGGCAGTGAAGGATGTATCTTTTTGATACTTACTAATCATAGTCTTAGCTCTGCATATTTGGAACTGTAATTCTTCTCAATTGACATACAATAAATGAGATGTATGTACCAGAAGTGTATTCATACAATCCATTAAACCATTCCCCAAGACATCTATGCTATTAAAACCAATCAGCCAAAGAGTGGCAGCATGAGGATGAAGTATGCATGCTGTTTTGCAGGTGGATTCAGAAATGTAGTTGGTAGGATTTAGTAAAATATCCATAGACAAACAGCTTCAAGCAGTTTGTATTACAAAAGCTGTAGAGAAAATACTTGCCTGCTAACAAGGGAGTAGGGCATCCAGCTATCCTAGAGACTCTTTCATCTCCCCTAACAAACGCATGAGGTGCTTGGAGACTATAATGAATGCATTTAAAATAGCTAGACAATGTTCAGTAAACGGTTTACCTTTGGGTGGAGAAAAAAGATTGCATGTTAATGGCTGTATATCTTACTGTAACTGGAAAAATATTTTAACCAAAAAAAACCCCCACCAAAAAACAACCAGCAAGAAATTCTCCCACCTGTACCCCAATAAAACAAGCAAAGGAAGTCCCACAGGAAATCACATCCATAGCAGCAGTCAAGTAGAGTGATACTTGTTCTAATTTTGTCCTCTCAGTTGAGAGACTCCCATTTATCGGCTTCTGCTATTTTGACTTTACTGCTGGGACTTGCTGTGTGATGGCTGTTTGTGTTTGGGACCATCAATTCAGCCAGAACAGTTTAAGGAACATACTGTCTTTTTGGCTCTAAATATGCATATCTTCATACTGTAATCTCAGGAGAAGGATTCTTCTATTTCTAGATATTGTGTTTATAAAAGGAAATCTCCAGAAATCTTTCTTGACAAAGGGCTCATTTTTGTAGGATTTTGGGTTGTGACTTAACGATTCACATGTAAAAAAGGATATGGTTATATAGGCTGAGATGGAAATTTAAAAACTTAGCTCTTAATTTACTCAGCTATTGCTGAACAGCAAAAGATGTGAGGAAAAATTAACATACACTGCTTACAAAACACAGATACACAAACTAGAAAGTGAATTAATTGTTTTCAAGGGTTTTAAAGGTTTTAAAATATCAAAACAATCCCACTCAACAGAACAGAAAATACACCCTGACAAATTACAGAGATTTTGCGAGGCTGGGTGCAGGGAGGAGTAGATTAGTGGGCTAGATCCTTAGATGGTTTAAAGCTACACTGACCTGAACTGGTACCAACTAAGGATTGGACCTACTTTGTTTCCTATGATATTAGGTATATTTTGCCTTTAAATAAAACAAAAATGTCAGGCACGTGTTTTTGAACTTCCTATTGATCTATTTTACAAAACAAGGAAAGATATAAACTTTAGATTGCGTGGGTGGCTTTAAAAACTTTTTTCCCTTTTGTATTGTTATTAAGCACTTGTCTAAATGGCTAAACGTGTGTGCCCTGAGAGTGTTCATCCAAAGAGAAACCTTCTCCAGAGTGTAAGGGA